ATCACGCGAGCGAGACTCCAGAACTCAAACACTTCAGTTGAAACTCCGCGACTGCCAGAGATCTTCAAAAGCCTAAAGTCTTGCAAACTCAGACTCTTTCAGAAGAACTGCCAAAGCCTCTGCGTCACCAGGAAACCCCATTCATCACCAAGCATCCCCAGAAACGACGTCATCCAAACGACAGATCAGCAACCAATCAAAGGTGCTGGGATTCCCTGAAAAGCCAGCAACTGGAAAACTCCGCTCAGCTGTCAGCTCGAATGCAAGTAACAAGCAAAATATCTTCATCTCTTGCTGAACGGGTGTTGAACTGAGTTTAAGCAGTAAACATAAGCCAAGTCTCTGCTTTTATGAGTTTTCTCAGGTTGAAGTTAAAATACTCGTAGAAAACGAGTATTGGAACTTTGGGAACTTCCTCAGAACTCCGTTAAAATCATCAGGTGTTCAACCGTATGTGTGTGTGTGTGTGCTTTCATTAGTTTAGTTTAATGTAATCTAGAATAGCCAATAAACTGTTGTTTCATTTATAAAGAATCATTGTCTTGTGTATATGTAATTTAAAGTTAAACCTTGCCCAGATCACGTTACCTAGCTCGTAGCTTATAACTTATCAAAGCATGTATTAACCTGTGGCCAGGGAAAATACAAATATTCAAATTGTTAAAATATTTTAAAGTTAAACTCTGCCCAGATCCGGCTACCTAGCTCGTAGCTTATAAATTATCACAAGCATGTATTAGCCTTTGGCCAGGGATAGTACAAATATTCAAATTGGTAAGATATACTGATGTTAGCGTCTTGCTGGACGACCGTTGATAAAGTGTAAACTATCAATTTTGGAATCAGTTCAATCAGGTTGATCTTGAATCTTCAGATTCGATTCCCCCTCTGAAAACCTGAGCTAAAATAAAAGAGTTAAATTTTATTACATCAGTAACCGCCCACTGTTATGATTGGCTAACATCATTGCACATGAAACAGTATCAGCGCCCCCTCGCTATCACATGTGAGTGTTTTGCTCAAACCATATCTGGTTTGGTTTATGCAAATCTTTGTGCCCAGGTGACATCATCTTGCCCCTTGGTTCCAAAACTGTCAGGGTCTGGCGTCTGGTGTTCTCCCTCTCACCACCAATTAATATTAAATATTAATATTAATATTAAACAAATATATCTCAAAATCATGTAAAATTTTGCCAGATTAAAAAAAAACCTTCTTTACAGTGTTTCTCAGAGTTTTAAGATCATTAATTGAATTTAGTTTCCATGAAGTCCTCACATATGAAGGAGGGCATATAAGTTTATTGTCATCATTATTCTGCAATCAAGAATTAATGTGAAGAAATGGACATTCAAACTGAGTGCAATTTGCAGCAAAAACAATAACTCTGATGTATGTTCAGTTATAGTAGAAATCTTGAGCGATGTGACAAAGGCGAGTAAAGTTCAGCTCATGCTCTAATGCACAGAGCCGTCATGTAGTAACTCTCAAAGGGAGAGAAGATCACATGATGCACTCATGATACAGCTGGATACTGCAGTGAAGAGAAACACTTGAAGTGTCAGCATTAATACATCAATGTGTCGTTTCAGTTCATACCTCTTTCTCTGTCCTGACGTGTGACGTGTGCAAAACAGGTGTGTCTGTAAGTCTGTAAACTCACATACTGAAATGTCCACTAGGTGTCAGTCTCATACAGAAACTCAGAGTTAGTGAGAACACAAAGTGGGATAAACACCTTTACAAATAACACTACACCAAATTACTCAGGATTATTAGAAAGCTAAAGACAGGAGAGTTTTATTAGGGTTGGAGCTAAACTCTGCGTGACAGTGGCCCTCCAAGAC